CTGAGGATAACTGGTCTGCCTGTTAAAGACTAAGGCAAAGAAAGCTTTAAGTACCTCAGCCTTTTCCTCATCCTCGGTGACAATGTTCCCCCCCGCATCCAATAAAGGATGGAGATTCTCCTTGGCTCTCTTCTTGTCATTAATGTATTTGTAAAAACTTTTTTTGTTGTCTCTAACGACAGCGGCCAGGTTGTGTTCTAGCTGGGCTTTTGCCTTTCTCATTTCCTCTCTGCACGACCTAATGAGATCCCTGTACTCTTCTTGAGTCGCCTGCCCCTTCTTCCACAAGCGATAAACTCTCCTTTTTTTCCTGAGTCTCAGCAAAAGCTCCCCGTTCAGCCAGGCCGGTCGTCTTCCCCGCCCGTTCTTCTTGCGGCGTACAGGGACAGCCTGCTCCTGCGCCTTTAAGACTTCCTTCTTGAAGATCGTCCAGCCTTCCTGGACCCCTTTGCCCTTCAGGACTGTCTCCCAATTTACTAGTATTGACATGGCTAAACCCTCTGACTCAAGGATAGGCCTGTTTCCGTTGCCTAGTCAGATCTGTGTTGTGAGATGTTACTCCCCTGAAGAGATTTCCTTGCTATACCTTCAAAATCTACGGGCTTGGTTTACTTTACTGTGATTCATGTATCGGAAAAAAGACTAAATGCAGCAATTGCGAAAGTTTTGTCACTCTGTGGCTCCTGTTGGGGATTTCTCTGTGCCAGTGCAGAAATGAAAATGAAGAGTGATCTTCAAAATTTATGGAGAGAAATAGGCAGCCCTGGCCCTGGAAGGTCTAGCATAATCGTGACAGCCATTGTCCTTCTTTTGGTTTTCATAGGGTCGTTGGAATTCTTACTTGACATTCCTGAGGCTGCTGTTTGTCTGCTCTCGCTTGTAGGGATTGTACATTAGCTCTGTGATGTCTCCTGGAGTTTGAGTGATCTCTTCACCCTGCTCTCCCGCAGGAATTGTAACAAACCCTTGTCTCATAAGAAGATTCACAAGAAGGATGGAAAATGCCTTGATCTCTTTGCCAAGTTCTGTCTGCCCTCCATCTGCCATCCCTTCTTCTCAAGATCTTGAGTTCTGAAGGAGGTGATCTTGTCACTTGTATGCCATTTGGATCTGTAGTGAGGAGACTTAGGAAGGAAAAGAGATGAAGGGAGCATATTATGATTTTTTTCAGTTCCATTGCTGGTCTTTGCAGCAAATACATGTTCATTGTTCTGGCACCTTGGGAAGTTTAGGAGTTAAAAATGCTTTTGATGAGCCACCATGATTGAGTTACATGAGAAGCCTGCCTTTGGAGGGGAAAAGGCTGTAGACTTATTTCTTTAAATGAAAGCTCAGTAGTAATTGGATGTGCTGCACTTTCCTTGTTAAGGCAGGCGATCTGTGACAGCATTCCAGGTTCAAAAGTTACTAACTTCAGAAATCGAACTTCAGAAATGGGACTTCAGTCAAATCAACTTTGGTCCTACAGGTCACTAGAATTTCCGCTGGGTGTGTTTTTATCTTCTTTTTTTCAAGGTAGCAACAAGAAGTTAGGGCAACTTGAACTCTTCGTACTTAAGATTCAAAAGCGTTGAGATTCATAAATCTCACGTCATAACTGGTTAAAACTTCTCCAGAAAAACTCGACCTCTGGCCTCTACCTAACAGTTTTGGAATCTGGGATTTCTGTCAGGTGGATACTTAGCAATGGGCAAAATTTTGTCTGAAATCAAGTTGCAGCCTTAATTACTGAGCAACCACTATCTCTCCATAGCAGCGGTTTATCAAAAGCAAATGAGTACTAACCGCAAGTTTA